TCGTTTCCGCCTCTGAGCCCCGGATGTGTGTGTGACTCTACTCTAGTTTGCAGGCTGTTCAAAGCCCCGCCATGCCTCACCTCTGACCTTTTAAGCCGCAAGGCTCATGCTGCTCCACACATGAAAGTTGTCTGCCATTCACACTCTCTTGTGCCTTCCCTCACTCCCTAATATTCCACATGTGACTGACCAATGGGATCCATGAGTCATGGCAAACCCCAGTCAGCCTGGCAAGAGGAAAGTGGCATAAGGAGTCAGTCAGCCCCCCCTCCTCCCTGCTCTTTTAATTCTCAGGTGGCGATGTTGTGTAAATGGCGCCCTCCTGATGGAGGGAACTTATTTATAGCGGCACCTGTCAGATTTGTCCGAGGTGTGAGTGAGGAAGGTAAGATCGAACAGCTGAGCTAAAGAATGGCATGTAGCCCAGAACCCCAGAAACGTCCTCTACCGACTGCCACGCGGCCTTCGTCGTACAAGCACGCGCTACTAGTGGCTCGGATGCGTTAAGAAACCGCCAGCCCAGCTCACTGCTGCTCGTGAAATCGAACGTACTGTATTTAACAAACCTATGCAGTCAGTGCTTGAACTTACTCGATATGCAGTGCTTTAAGCGTGGCAGTAAAGCTGAGCTTCGCAGCGTGTCCCAAACTCCAGCTCGAGTCTCACGAGCCAGCCACGTGTCCTCGGTCAGAGACGGACATGTGAAGCCGTGTCCGTCTGTGGTTTGGGATCCCAACTCCAGAGTAGCACAAGTCTCCAGAGCTGAAGAGTTGCATTGTTCACTGCCCTTCACAGAGCTCACCCCCTGCTGGCGGCTGCGTGTACTGGCATATTTCTTCGCGCCAGCCATTTTGACTCATCAGTATCAATGAATCCTGTTACCTCAAAGGCAAACGGGTGGCAGCTTGATGCAGGACGTGATTCAGAAGAATAAAAAATGGAGACAGATGGGGGAAGGAGGGGTGGGCGTCTTGTTTTCAGTCTACTGTACACCATCAGACCCTCTCCTAACTGCCAAGAGTGCTCTGTTACACCCCCGTTACCACCACCCAACAGTATTTCTGATGAAATCCTGACTGTAATCGTGTGTGTGAGATACTTGCTGATGGGTTTTTTATTATTTTATTATATTTTTTTTAGATCAGCTGAAATGTGCGGAAAAGAAAAGCAAAAATGGGAAGGTACTGGGACGGGGTTTATCTCTAAGCATGAACAGGAGACTGTGGTTCTTCACTAGCATGCTGTTATGATGTGTTTGTGGTTTTAGACCTGCTATAAGGGTTGGGATTGTGTCCGAGGAAAAAGGTCCTCTTAACTCAATTTTATCTGGGCTGCGTTTGGAGGGGGGGCGGGCTGCTTTTCTGTTTTCAGGGTTGTTGTTTTTTTCTTTTAAATTTGTGGTAAAGGCTGCGATGTTTTCTCTTATATGTATTGACCTTATTGTTAAAAGCCCTTTTGTTGTTCATATAAGACTGAGTAAAGATATGAACCAGTTACACAGATATGAAACGGAAAAGTTGAACAGAGCCAAACTGAGTTGGCACACCACACAGGGATCGTTACCCGCTACTGTTTACGCCACAGTTGTCATTACTGTATAATTGATCAGTGTTTGTTACATAGTTTATGAATGAACCCCTGCCCCTCTATTGTAATGGTTTGTGAGAATGGGATTTCTCTTTTTTTTTTGGGTCAAACTACTGTTTTATCGTCCTTGCTCCCCACACTCTGAGCTCTGGTTGGTGGCAGCCTCACTGAGGGAAACCCAGCAGTTAAGAAAACAACAAGAACCTCAGGAAAAAAACAAAACAACCACCAATAAACAAACCCTTTTCCAGCTGAGTGAACCTGACCCCTGGCAGTCTCACTTTTTGGCTTCAAAGGACTGTTTACAATCTACCTTGATATGCACATGTGGATATTTTGACGATCACTTGATAT